ACCACATTCACATGCCCCTTTGGCACTTTTGCCTATAGGAGGATGCCCTTTGGCCTATGCAACGCCCCTGGTACATTCCAGTGGTGTATGGTTAGCATTTTTAGTGACTTTTTGGAAAGTTGAATAGAGGTGTTTATGGATGATTTTACTGTATATGGATCTTCATTTGATGCATGCTTGGATAGTCTAGATAGAGTTTTGCATAAATGCATAGAAACTAACCTTGTTCTAAATTATGAGAAGTGTCATTTCATGGTAGAGCAAGGCATAGTTCTAGGCCATGTGATCTCTAATAAGGGCATAAAGGTAGATCCTGCCAAGATAGATGTTATTTCACTATTGCCTTACCCCTCTTGCGTGCGAGAGGTTCGTTCTTTTCTTGGTCATGCAGGTTTCTATCATAGGTTAATTCAAGATTTTAGAAACAAGGCCCTTCCACTATCCAATCTGTTGCAAAAGGATGTGGTGTTTGATTTTGATGAAAGATGTAAAGAGGCCTTTGACTGCCTCAAGAGAGCTTTGACCACCACTCCTATCATCCAGGCATCTGATTGGGCAGTCCCTGTTGAGCTAATGTGTGATGCTTCTAATTATGCATTGGGGGCTGTCCTTGCACAAAAAGTAGACAAATTGCCTAGGGTGATTTATTATGCTTCTAGGACTTTAGATGTTGCACAAGCAAATTATACCACCACTGAAAAAGAGCTCTTAGCTATTGTATTTGCTCTGGATAAATTTAGATCTTATTTGCTTGGTTCTAGAATTGTTGTTTTCACTGACCATGCAACACTAAAGTTCTTGTTGAAGAAAGTTGAGTCTAAGCCAAGGTTGATTAGATGGATGCTCTTGCTCCAAGAGTTTGATTTGGAGATTCGTGATAGGAGCGGAGCACAAAATTTGGTTGCTAATCACTTGAGTAGAATAGACAGAGATGTTGATATGATGCCCATTCGTGGTGATTTTCCTGATGAACAACTTTTGCATATCTCTGTTTCTTCCTCCAATCCTTGGTTTGCTAATATTGTTAATTATTTGGTTGCATCTGTTTTTCCTCCACTAGCATCTAGGGCTCAAAATGATAAACTTAAAAGTGATGCTAAATTTTATTTTCGGGATGACCCCTATTTGTGGAGATTTTGTAATGACCAGGTGATTAGAAGATGCATTCCATATCATGAGATTGAGTCAGTCCTTCAGTTTTGTCATGCCTCTGCAGTTGGGGGACATCTTGGTACCCAAAGAACAGCAAGGAAGGTACTTGATTGTGGATTGTATTGGCCCACCATCTTCAAAGATGCGTGGAGGATCTGTAGTACTTGTGAGCAGTGTCAGAGAGTAGGTAGTACCATTTCTTGGAGACAAGAGATGCCTCAACAACCTATGTTGTTCTGTGAGGTTTTTGATGTTTGGGGTATTGATTTCATGGGTCCCTTTCCTGTTTCTTTTGGTTTTACTTATATTCTGCTTGCTGTTGATTATGTTTCTAAATGGGTGGAAGCTAAAGCCACCAGGACAAATGATGCTCGGGTTGTTATGGATTTTGTTAGGTCTCACATTTTTTGCAGGTTTGGCATACACAGAGCTATTGTTAGCGACCAAGGCACACACTTCTGGAATACTATGCTCAAGAAGTATGGGGTTGTTCATAGAGTTTCCACACCATATCACCCCCAAACAAATGGGCAAGCTGAGATTTCAAACAGAGAGATAAAGAATATTTTGGAGAAGATGGTGCAGCCTAACAAGAAAGATTGGAGCAACAGACTTGAGGATGCTCTTTGGGCACATCGAACTGCTTACAAGGCACCCATAGGGATGTCTCCTTATCGGGTTGTCATTGGTAAAGCATGTCATCTTCTTGTGGAGATTGAGCATCGTGCTTATTGGGCTGTGAAGACTTGTAACTTGGCTCTTGATCAAGCTGGTGAAGAAAGGAAGCTCCAACTTAGTGAATTGGATGAGATCTTCTTAGAAGCCTATGAGAACTCTAACTTCTATAAAGAGAAGACCAAAAGATTCCAAGATAGCTTGATTTCTAGGAAGGAATTTGTGGTTGGCCAAAAAGTGTTGTTGTATAACTCTAGGCTTGGTCTCATGAGTGGTAAGCTTCGTTCTTGGCTTGGTCTCATGAGTGTTGTTGAAGGAATTTGACATGTTTCTTGTTGATACTTGATTCACATATTGCACAATTTGAAGTGATTTAGGCATTTCTTTTGAATAAGCCACATGCCATATAGCCTACCTTGAATGAAATTATCATTTGCTAGCCCTTTTGAGCCTTTTTACCATTTCTTTGTCATATAGCTCATTACAAGCCTATAAGTGAAAAACCATGATTATCCTAACCTTAGGGAATTTTGGAGCTTTGGAATTGTTTTGGGAATGGGTATTAAGTAAGGGTGCATTGTTCTTCATTGTTTATAATTCTTGGTTATGACTCATTGGTGGATGTAATTGTGTACATAAGTGTGGTGTCATTGAAAAAAAAAACAACAAAAAGAGAAACAAAACAAAAGAAAAACAAAAAAAAAATGAATTGTTTTTGAATAGAAGTTTAGTGTGGCAAAGAGGATTGAGAGGATTGGAATTAGAGGATGATTTACTTATTTTGGGTTGATTTTGTCTTACTTTTTAATTATTCCCTATTGCTCCTCTATTCCCTTGGTTTTAAGCTACATATCCATAATTTATCCCACCTTGTCCTTGGCCCCATTACAACCTTGAAAAGTCCTTTTGATCACTTTGTGTATGTGTTTATGATGTTGATGTTAGAAACTTGTCAAGCATATGGTTGTGTTTGTTTTCATGAAGTGCCTTGAGTGTAAATACTTACAACTTAAGACACATGAGTGTAAACCATTTTTAGAGCATATCTTGTGAGGATCTATCATTGTTGTGACTCACCTCTTGGTTTCATAGGTTTCTTTGCATGCTTGAATTGTTTGGATGATCTTCATGGATATCTTGATTCTTTGATCTTGTTACTCTTGTGTGCTTGATTTTGCCCATCTCTTTGCATTTCATAGAATTCAATGTGAAGTATGTCATCTTTAGGATTTTTCATTTTCTAGTTTTTAATAATCTACTTGCATGACTCACTTTGGTGCACTGGTTAGCATATCATTATTTCTTGATTTTGCCCAGGAGTGCAAAAGGTTAAGTGTGGGGGTATTTGATGAGTCATACATTACACACTATTCATAACCTTAATTTAACATTGTTAATGATTCTCGGTATCTAATTGACTTTGTTTGGCATGGTTTAGTGTTTTGGGGCTTTATTGGACTATTATTCCTAAAATGAGTTAATTTGGGATTATTTAGTCTAATTAAATCTAATTCAATTTTCAGGTCATATTTGGTACCAAGGACATTTTGGACATTACAAGTGGATGACGTGTGAAAAAGTGAAGATTGTATATTGTATTAGGATTTTTATTTCCGTTTGGGTTTTGGACCCATTGTTTAGGACCCATTTCCGTTTTACACCATTTAAACACATGAATTTCGGTTTTGAAGGGGACACTTTAACATTACATTACTTTTTGCCTTAGAACATTGTTATTCCCGTTTTCCCTCTTTTTCTTTCCGAGGGTTTATGCATTTTCATTTTTTCTCTTCTCCATTTTCGGTTTTGCTTAATCCTTCCATGGAAGGCTAAATTTCTGGACTAAACTCATTTGGTAATGTATCACAACTCTTGAGGTTTGGTTATTAATGCAATTTCGGTTTCTTATTTGTTAAATTTCTTCTATTCAATTTCTGGATGTGGTTTTCTTAATTCCATGCCTTAGAAATAGATTTGTGAACTGATTTTCACTTAGTCAATCATTTCTCTAGTGCATGAATGTTTAGTTTGTGTGAATTTATTTATGAGTTGATTATCGCTTAGTTACTTGATTATGGACAAATTAGGGATTCAACTATTAGAATATGATTTTGATACTGTGAAACCGAGGATTGAGTTGTGATTAAGGAAACCAAAGGGGTTTAGCCGTTTCACTTTACTGTTAATTACTGTTTCTGTTTTAGTTTTAGATTCATACCATAAAAACAACAAAACCCCCCTTTGTGTGTGTGAGTACAAGGTGTTTGAACTATTGCGTGAAAGATAATCCTTGGGAAACGACCTAGGAGTCACTTCCTAGTACTATACTTTATTGTTATATTATTTGTATCGAGTACGGCCTCGATCAACATGTCAGATCATGAATTAGTAACTGCATCCAATATCCAAAAAAATCCCAATTGTTTCGAATTTTCTCTTTCTCGAGTGGAATATTTACAAAATCCACATGAATAGGACCAAACCTTATTCCATGGTATTTACATAAGATTCCTCTTTCATATTCTTAAGCAAGACCCCGAGAGGGCTTAGTCGATCCATGATTTATGTTTCGTCTTTCGTTTCCTTTTCGTTTGTTTCGAGAGATATATCGATCAATTTCGATTCTTTTTCTAATGATTCTTTTCCGATCGAGATGTATGGATCCATGGGTATATGTGTCTATATAGATCCTGATCCTGTTCGTGGATTAACGAAAATGTGCAAAAGCTCCATTTGCCTCTGCCATTCTATGAGTCTCTTCCTTTTTGCGTATGGCATGCCATTCCCTTTGGCAGCATCCACTAATTCGGAACTTAATTTGAAAGCCATATTTCGACCCAGACGTTTTCGGGATTCCCCTAATAACCAACGAATGGCAAGTGCTTTTCCTTGTGCAGATCCTATTTGAATGGGAACTTGATGAGTCGATCCGCCTACACGTCTTGCTTTTACTGCTATATCGGGAGTTACTCCACGTATTGCTTGACGTAAAATAGATAGTGGTTTTGTTTCTGTCTTTTTTAGTTAACTAATCGATTACGAAAAATGGGATCGGATTTTACAGTTTTTTCTTCTGCAGTACCTCGCCGTGACATGAGCGTGAAATGGGGAATCCGTTTTTTTATAACTTATAAGGGCTAAAATCATTTATTTTGGCTTTTTGGCCCCATATTGTAGGGTGGATCTCGAAAGATATGAAAGATCTCCCTCCAAGTCGTACATACGACTTTCATCGAATACGGCTTTCCACAGAATTCTATATGTATCTATGTAGCTATGAGATCGAATATGGAATTTTGTTTACTCACTTGAAATTGAGTATCCGTTTCCCCCCTTTTCCTGCTAGGATTGGAAATCCTGTATTTTACATATCCATACGATTGAGTCCTTGGGTTTCCGAAATAGTGTAAAGTGCTTCGAATCATTGCTATTTGACTTTCATCGAATACGGCTTTCCACAGAATTCCATATGTATCTATGTAGCTATGAGATCGAATATAGAATTTTGTTTACTCACTTGAAATTGAGTATCCGTTTCCCCCCTTTTCCTGCTAGGATTGGAAATCCTGTATTTTACATATCCATACGATTGAGTCCTTGGGTTTCCGAAATAGTGTAAAGTGCTTCGAATCATTGCTATTTGACTCGAACCTATTATGACCAATACCAGGTATATAAGCAGTGATTTCAAATCCAGAGGTTAAGGTTACTCTGGCAACTTTACGTAAGGCAGAGTTTGGATTTTTTGGGGTGATAGTGGAAAAGTTGACAGATAAGTTGTAAGGACCCAAATTCTACCCTTGAAAATTTTTCCTTTATTTTAATCCTTTTATACATACACTCCACATCTTACTCTAATTTCCCCCATATTCACTTCGTAAAACTACATTTATAGTACATTATGTTAACATGTATCTCATGTTGCGGAAAACATAATTCATATATAACTTTCATCGGTAATTACCGCATATGTTTAACTATGGGTTTCCAAAACACCCATAATTACTAATATCCAGCATTACACAAAAATGTAGTACGTTAAATGGTTACGAATACAGTCATCCAAATCGCAATTTTACAACACAAAAAGCAAAAATAGACGATCCAAGTCCTAAGCTCCCAAAGCCTCGAACCAAGCATCATCAACTACCCTGTTTACCTGCAATGGGATTATCAATGGCAAATACACACAACATACAAAGGAGTAAGTCATCAAAACAATGAATACCATTATAAGATAATCCACATTTTAAAGGGGTTAGGAAACCATTTGTTTTATAAATTCATTTTGTGCTACATTACTTGAGACAAAGTTTTGCTACATAGCTTGAGCCAAAACGTTGCTACATAACTTAAGCCAAAGTATCGCTACATAACTTCAACCCAAGTATCGCTACATAACTTGATCCAAAGTATCGCTACATAACTTGAGCCAAAGTATCGCTACATAACTTGAGCCAAAGTATCGCTACATAACTTGAGCCAAAGTATCGCTACATAACTTGAGCCAAAGTATCGCTACATAACTTGAGCCAAAGTATCGCAACATAACTTGAGCCAAAGTATCGCTACATAACTTGAGCCAAAGTCGCTAACCAATTATGGTCGGCTAAAAACATATTTTCTTTTCATTGATATATCATCAATCAGTAAACAGTAAATCCACGCGTTCCATTATCATAAACATACCCATATATGTTTACAATAACTAAGCGATTCATCAGTTTATCATTATACACAATCAGAAAATCCACTTATTATCCATTTCAATATGCTATTTAAAGACTCCTCCTTACCTTGGTGAGTGTTGGGTTTGGTTCTTGGCAACTTCGCAAGTTCCACTGACACCTCCTCCAACTTTAGGATCTTTCCTCATTCCCACCATATAACAAAATGTTAGTCATTTATTCCAATATCACATAAATAACTCATATTGCATCATTTAACCATACAAGATATTTATCATATTTTCAATGTTTATAAACTACTTTCATCATCAGTTTACAAACATCTATAACATACATATTCATCTGATATTTCAATATTAGAATGCTTAGTCATCTTCTACCTCTAGCATTTTACTCATTTTCCTCCTTAACCCCATTTTCACTTTAGGGTTTTGGGGTGTTCATGAATCAACCCCTAAACCTTTCCATTTTTGAAATACTAACTCTAAACCAAGAGTTTACAAGATAGAAACAACATAAAACGAACCATAACTCGAAAAGATGAGTTTCCATGGTTTCCCTCATTTTGAGAAGAGATCCAACATACCCAAAATAAGTTTCAAAGGGAATAAGAGAGTTAGAATCAAGAGCTTTATCTCTTCTCAAGTTTCTAAATGATTCACAAGCCTTCTTGCTCTTGAAAAAGCTTTCTTCTCTCACTTCTCTCTAGGTTAACCCTCATAAATGTGTTTGGGGTTCTCTATTTAATGTAACAGCGTCGGGTTCTCGCTTAAGCGAGCCCTTTCTCGCTCAAGCAAGAAAATCCCGCCTATTTTAGAAACTCAGATCTGACCCTCTCGCTCAAGCGAGGATCCTCTCGCTCAAGCGAGAATCTTACAGTCTCGACAGATCCAAAACATCACTTTTCTCGCCTAGGCGAGCTAACCCTCGCTCAGGCGAGAATCCTCCAGTATAGCCCAGGATTTCAACTTCCTAGGTGAGCCTTCCTTGCCCAGGCGAGAATACCTCGCTCAAGCGAGAATCTCAGGACTGATACTATAATTTTTAAAGACGTAAATTTAGGGTGTTACAATCCTCCCCCTCTTATAAGAATTTTCGTCCCCGAAAATTAAACATACCTCGATTCAAACAAATGAGGGTAATCCTCCCTCATCTCACCCTCCACCTCCCAGGTAGCATCTCCTTCGTCCACTTGGCTCCACAATACCTTCACCATGGCAATCTCCTTGCCTCTCAATCTTTTGATACTAGTATCCATGATTTTGACGGGCAACGTTGTAAAAGTCAAGTTATCCTTCAACTCTATCTGATCAGACTCAACTACATGAGATGGATCCCCAACATATTTCCTCAATTGAGACACATGAAACACATTATGGAGATTCGACAATAACGGAGGTAAAGCAATCTGATATTTAAACTCTTGTGGTCGTTATACACCTCAAACCTCACGCCATAAAGATGGTGTCTCTAGATTTTTAAGGCGAAGACCACTACAGCTAACTCTAGATCGTGGGTAGGGTAGTTTTGCTCATGTGTTCTCAACTGTCGAGAAGCTTAGGCAACAACCTTCCCTTCTTGCATCAACACGCAACCCAACCCTTGCTTGGAAGCATCACAATAAACACTGAAATCCCGATTAGTACAAGGAAGAACCAACACTGGCGCTGTAGTCAACCTTCGTTTCAATTCTTGAAAACTCTCTTCACAACGGATTGTCCACACATACGGTTCTCCTTTCCTAGTGATTTTTGTCAATAGTAGCGCTAACTTCGAAAATCCCTCAATGAAAATCCCTCAGTGACTAACTTGGGCACCGCCAATTCCATAACCACTTCAACCTTAGAAGGATATACTGCCACTCCTTCCTTGGATATTACATGTCCAAGAAAGTTTACCGATTCCAACCAGAAATCACATTTTGACAGCTTCGCATACAACCGATTCTTACTAAGAAGTTCTAGCACAATCCTCATGTGCTCAGCATGTTCCTCTCGGCTTTTGGAGTAAACCAAAATGTCATTAATAAATACCACTATGAGTGAATCCAAATACAGATGAAAAATCCGATTCATGTAGTCGGTAAATATTGTTGGGGCATTCGTTACACCAAAAGGCATGACCAAATATTCAAAATGCCCAAACCTTGTCCTAAAAGCAGTTTTAGGAATGTCTTCCGACTTCACACGAAGTTGGTGGTATCCTAACCGAATATCAATCTTTGAAAACACTATTGCTCCTCTCAATTGATCCATCAAGTCATCAATCCGAGGCAATGGATACTTGTTCTTGATAGTAACTTTGTTCAGCTGTCGGTAGTCGGTACACAACCGCATACTACCATCTTTCTTCTTAACCAACAAAACAGGCGCACCCCACAGCGAGACACTAGGACGAATGAACTTCTTTGCCAATAAGTCTTCAACCTGCTTTTTCAGCTCAACCAATTCTAACGGTGCCATCCTATAAGGTGCTATAGAAATGGGTCCCGTTCCAGGTACTAATTCAATACAGAATTCTACTTCTCTTACTGGGGGTAATTCCGGAATATCACAAGGAAAAACCTCAGGAAACTCACGAACTACCGGAATGTCCTCAATCTTGGGTTTCTCAATACCCTCCAGGGATGCCAACAACATGAACACGACTCCTCCCTCCTTACAGGAAGTCCTGACTTCCTTTGCCGATATCGGCTTCATGGTACCAACCTCATCAGAAATCTCATCTAAATTCTCGAATACCACGGTCTTATCAGCACAATTAAGCACCACATGATTCGCCGACAATCAGTCCATCCCCAGAATTAGATCTAACTGGGATAGTGGTAAGCAGATTAAATCCACGGTAAAAGTCCTACCGTTTACCACCACCGGACATCGAGACACAACTGTCGACACCACCACAGGCACATTAGTTGGGGTGGATACGACCAAGTCAAAAGGGAACGACTTAGTTTTCAATTTCAGTCTATCCACACATTCAATAGATACAAAGGAGTGTGTTGCTCCCAAATCAAACAACACTAAAAGAGGGATACCTGCGACCATGCAATTACCTTTTATCAGGCCATCTACACCCGATGTCTCTGCACCACTCATGGTGAACACTCTACTAGTGGTTCTAGGTCGTTCAACCCTCACATCATTCACACCCTGCAGTAGTTTAGGACAATATCTTTTGATGTGCCCAACTTCCTTGCTGTGGAAGCAGCTAAGTGTCGTCCCATGGCACAACTCACCAACATGATTCTTGTCGCACTTGTTGCAAAAGGACGGAGATTGAACTTGTGATCCTCCCACCTTCGCATGTGGCCTCAACCTATGCAAACTATTTCCCCGATTCCCAGCAGTAAGGGAGTATGGTTTTTGTTCCTCTCGGAAAACCTTACCCTTCCCCTTTCCATAACTCCTTTGAGGCCCAAAGTGTCTCGGAGGATTGGTTCGAGGAGTCACCACTTCATCTTTAGTCAGGTCGTCCTCATACATCCTGCACTTGTTTACCAGGGTAGCAAAATCCGCGATTTCTTGATGCATGAACATCCTTTTTAGCTTGGGCTTCG